ATTTGAACCCTGGCAAAAATATCCTATAGGATCCTATAGGATGCTATAGGACAAAATCCTATAGGATTCTATAGGACAAATTCCTATAGGATTCTATAGGTTTTTCGCCAATAGGTTCCTATAGGATCCTATAGGATTCTATACGCCTATAGGATCCTATAGGGGCCTATAGGATCCTATAGGTCCCTATAGGATCCTATAGGCGTATAGGATCCTATAGGCCACTTTAGAATCCTATAGGATCCTATAGGAACCTATTGGCGAAAAACCTATAGAATCCTATAGGATCCTAGGGCCTATAGGATCCTATAGGCCCCTATAGCAAAACGCAGACGTGCATATTCTGTTACAATAGCTTTAAAGTGAATCACATAAATTCTGGATGGTTATATGTCTAACAGTTAGAAACATGAATTAAAGCGTAACCTGGATATCCACACGTGGAAAACCACGTGACACAGCTAGACAATTTTGTAAAGTATTGAATTCAAAGCATGACCCGGTTTAATACTTATTTATCATTATGCAAGACAGTACACATCGGATGAATAGGCCTACGCGTATCTGAACTTCAATTTACGAAATACGTGTACTTAAATGAATTGGAGAAATTAGCGTGCTAAGCAGCCTAATCTTCATCAGTTTCGCTCAGATATTAGCAACTGAACGCTTCTCATTGAATGAGTTTAAATTCCCATTTGAATCGCTAAATTACTTGATATACCGCTGTGCTCAGATGCTCAGTAAAATAGAGGCCTATGGGTCACACGGTCAAAAGGGACCTCAAGATGCGACTCATTAAGCAGCATAATTTAACTGAGTTGTAAGTTTATTGTCGGTGATATACAAACAATATTTTTTACAATATGTAAAATATTATTTTGACACTCGTGTGGCGCTGTGGTTAAGGCGATGGAATTCCAATCGTGAAGTCATGGGTTCGTGACCGACCCTGGTCAAACTGTTTGCGGCTTGGGCAAGATACTTTATCTACGGTTGCCTCTTTTTACCCAAGAGTAAATGGGTAGGCCTACATGTAGGAGGTGAATGATTAGGAATGGAATTTGTAGTGCTGAACACTCGTATAACTAGTGAAGTTGTTGTGTGTATGGTTAATTATCTATCCCACGACCAAGGAGAAAATGTTTTGAGCAGGTTTTGTTTGAGTATTTGAGCTATACCCTGTATAATAAATTATTAAATAAATAGTATAACTGGTATAGAGTAAAACTTATTTGGAAAATAAAAATCAAAACTTATTTGGAAAATAAAAACCATCACATGTTAAAATTGTTCTACGTCATTTTGGGACAGTATATTTCATACCTAGTAAAATATAAACATCCAGACCATTCAATGTGACACATTTATTATCGGCAATCACTGACGGTTAGAATAGACCAATGAAGTCAGCATATATGAGAACCACTTGAATCTGTAGCTTGAAAATTGCCATTTTACATGTTAGGTTTACCGTATTCAAAATTATGAATTCTTGTACTTGTATTTTCTCTAGGACTTTACTAAGCCAAAGCATACCGGTACATATGATATGTCAATTTTCTCTACATTATTAATTGAAGTCATCTGCGGATCGGTAAAGTAAGACATGCTGATATTATGTTGTGCCTGATGAACCGTAGTAAGGAGAATGTAATGTGGCGTGCGTTATTTACTTTAATTATGTTTACGTTCAAATATCGTCCTTCAGTGCTATGATTCTTGATGTTGCAAAATAGGCCTACGGTGTTGTATGACGTCATTGTGGTTGTTTTGTTTGTATTGATTAATTTATTTATTTATCTATCTATTTACTAATAATTCAAGAAAACTGTCCAAGAGGAAACCATGGACCGAGAGCCCAACACGAAAGTGGGAACCTCTTGACATAAAATTAATATAACACAAAGAACAAATATTTAAAAAAAAGGAATGGAACAACCAGGTACATATTTAATACGTAGGCCTACATAAGTAAATGCAGGGATATTGATAGGCCTACAGCATCCATTGAGTACATTCGAGAGAGCAGCTTAGCTCAGGCGGTTAAACTGGAAGTAGCCACTGCGTGTGCGCTGGATCGTGATTGATCATTTCCTTTTAGTCTACGGCTCATTCCACCTCTGGATTGGAATGGATTTATTCCAAGGATAACAAACAAAAGTCAGAAGAAGACTTATTTCCAGAGAGGTACTTTTGGTGGTGATTAGGCACTACACCGGGAGACATTTCCTTACAATTTTCCAAAGAGTTTTCTGCGTTCTTTAAAAGTTGACATGGGCCATATTGGACAAGGGACCATCGGCTTAAAATTCCCATTCGAAAGACGGTGCGCTATGGGAACTTGTATTTCAGCCCTTCAGCTGAAACACAAAGAGAGCAGAGAAGGGAATTGAACCGAAGACCAAGATATCTCCACAGTGGCTACCTCTTGTGTCTCAACTGATTAGATGTTAATGCTGTTGATCCAATGATGCAACAAGGCCCATGTGTACTTTAAAGTACACAGCATACTCTTCCAATAGCCTAAAGCAGATTGTCTCCCGATCACCCACTATTTTTAACTTTCTATCCCTGCTGTGATGTTAAACATTGAAAAATCCAAATCCAAATCCATTAAGAGTTGACTCTGTGACCTCGCGCACCGAAAGAAGAGTTTTTTTTTTTTCATGTATGAATAATCCGAGTATTGTAGCGTTACACGAACTTTTTTTTTGTACAAAGGTAGCTGAAGGCCTTTTTCTTGAGTGGAAAGAGATAATTACGTACGCATTTTTGAAAATAGATGCAAGATAGATGATTCAATATGAGCAAATGCTATTCACCCTAGGATTGAAATTCAATAAGAGAAGAATCCAGATACAACAATAAATCAAATTGAAGGAATTTCCTTGAAATTGTTTCAAGTTTTGCTAACAAAAAGGTAGTTTCCTCTTGATTTACCACGATGTTTAATTTCTGCAGATTCAACAAGTTCGATATTCATCAAAATATAAAGGCCTATTTTAATAGGCCCTATCTATTAGATGATTTGTTAGTTCTAGTGATTCAAAATGTTATTTAGGTACCTCGCAATGTTGCAGAATCGTATTAGATTGCCGATAAACTCATCTGATTCCGCGTCTTCTGCAATACAGCATTTAAATAATCTCTTCAGTTGGCCTGGTGAATTTCTATATTTTGAAGTTTTTTATTTATTGCTATCTTGATAAAAAAAAAAAGGAGATCGAGCTTACAGACATACTATTCAAATATATTTAATTGGAAAATAAAGATTGTAATTAGTATGATCTGGCACATAAAAACTTTCTACCAGTTAATTTAGAACAGGATAATACCTATTTCACTTTTACAAAATCATAGGCCTAATCCTATACAGAGCCTACTAAAGAGTTCCAGTGAAGCTATATAATTCTACATTAAATTATATTTGCCTTCAAATGCAATTCCCTGATTATCTATAAAAATAGAAAAACAAAAATGCGCTTGAGTAATTATGCCTTGAAGGAAAAAACACTGAATTGACCTCTCACCGATAATCTTTTTAATCGATGTTATTATTAAGAATAAAATATAGCTTACAAAAATCTATTTCAAGAAATCTGACAGCAGGGAATTGACATATCTTACAAACTTACCGAGGTCACGTTCAATAACCACTGACATGATAAATATGATTACGTAAATCAATAATTAATTTGTTTTGTCAGATGGGGATATATCAAAATGTTATCAGTCTTATAAATAAAGGAGTTGTTTTCCACTCGGCATCTATCATATAATGACCAACTTTCTATTTCTTTAAAATATACTTGTCACTATGTATATATTACTATCCGTTCTGATAATTATCACAAAAATCTGCGTCGCAAGACCATTTGCCAATGAATCCACTGTCCGCTCTCCGCGGTGAGCGTTTGACGAGCGGCGACGTTGGCTGATTGCGGTTCTATCTGAGCGGATCATCATATTGTTATTGAAAACAAAAAAAAAAGCAAACAAACCAAACCCGATCCGTTTAGTGCGCGCGTCTTCGCAATGCGAGATACTCTATGGCATGACGTCGGCTGACGACCGTTTGGCGCATGCACGTTCCCTCGAAATATCAATTCGTTCCCTCGAAATATCAATTCGTTCCCTCGAAATGGTTTAATATTTTGTGTAACTATGTCCATTTAGAGGCTCCGTCTTGCTTGTCTGGATTAAAATATTTGCCTACACAGAGTTATCGATGTAAGTCCTGTCATATGACAGATTTTTTTTTTTTTTTTTTTTTTGGTGAAAAAAAAAAACAACTTCACTCACTAAGCCATAACGAGTATTAGATTAGGTAGAGCATTAAGTGTCATAAGTATGTGTAAAAGGGATTGACACTTATACATAGTGACAGTAATATATTTGCTATTGCAATACTTGACATGTGTGTACATAAAATATATAAGTTAGTACACTCATACACTTATGCATTTCGCTACCTCCACTCATATAAATGCACTTTACCTAAATAATAGACATAGGCTGTAAATGATTTTGAACTGGTTCCACGACCAGGAGTACTCTTATTTTTGCTTTTCAAAAGACATCAGAAATGCTATTTTACTTTTTCTACCCCGTTTTCCTATAATTCTGCAAAGGATGTTTTACCCTGCACTTTGGTCAACAAGGTCGGGTTCTATGGTGCAATAGTTAGAGCTATCCACTTTACCCTTCAGTACCATTGCAGCCCTGTTCACGACTTGGTGGCTTCGGGTTTGTTTTTTTTTTGGATAAATATTTGTTAACTATAATTTCAACGTCAGTTTTCATTATGTCAATGAGGACAAAGTAAGTCTAGCTATTACTATTTGTTTATGTTATCATTACTGTTAACAATAATATTCATTTTTGTTATTTAATTATTAATTATTTATACTTTACTGAGTATTTTTATTATTATATTAGGCCTATTTATGCGATCATGATAAATTTTCATAACTTTTATTTTTTCAATCACTTTATAGGTAATCAAGCATGTCCTCGTTTGTTAGAGCTGCATTTTTGGTCATCCTCTTCAAAATCGGTAAATATGTCCTCTGTTTTAATAGCTTGAAGAGTAACATGGTACTCTTATGTTTAAGTTGATTTCGATGACTTCAGCAGAAATTGTGTTTTTCTAGTTTCCGAAACACAACAATCTACACTGTTTTTCATTACTGATATCTCTTCGTAATTTTTCTACTGGTCATTGTGTGTGTGTGTGTGTGAATTGGATGTCAACATTTAGTCGGGTGAATATTTGCAAAAGCATTGCTATCCTATCACAAGAGTCAACGACAAACAAGTTCGGCAATCCATTAGTAAACCTCTTCAAACCACTCATGTAGTACCTTGTATAGCAAATAGAAAGATGACGATAACATCATCGTTCATTGCTCACGTTTACGTAAAACAAAAATAACCGAACATATAAAAACATTATACAGTACTATTTTGTCGAGTATCAGAACTCCAAACTGTGTAAATTTGTGAAATTATCGAACCGCACGTGAGCAAATATGTACCTTTAGAACAGACGTAGATAAAATCCAAAGTATCTTGTGGTTATTTTAGCTGTCGAGTGTTTAGTTAATGATTTACGAGAACCCTCTGAATTCTGTGTAGTGTTTGTCCATATTTGTTCAGATCGCTATTAATAGGCCTATATAGAGGTTGGCTACGCGTGCAAAAAAATACTCAGTGGCGTATCCAGGGGTGCTCGGCTGCGCAACCCCCTCCCACACCTAAATCAAAAGGTCACTCCCCTCCACCTTGGAAATGTCGAAGCAAAACATTACGCTCAAATAGTTAATTTTTCAAGCAAGCGTCCGTCCCCTTACACTTACACATCTAATTCCCCTTTTCACGACTCCTAGATACGCAACTGGAAAACTTCAGTCTATCTGTATAAAGAGACAGTATGCTACAATGACATATTGTATTACTTAATTAAAAAGCTTTTTTTTCGAATATTTAGTCAAGAATATATGTAGCTCCACACAGGCATATATGAGTATGAAACTAGATGCTTCTAATCGTATTCGAAAAGATCTAATGGCACAGTTTGTGTTAAGGCCTCTGCATAATATTATAGATAACATGCAAATGTCAATGCTTCTGCATATTTAAGACAGCATGTAAATGGTAACGGGGTCGATTCCTGACTGGGATCATTTTTCACTCTTGCAAATTCTTAATTTATAAATCACTTATAGAATTACCACAATATATTTTACAATTATCAGATAAATAAATTGCGCAAAGAACGCAATCATTCTAAGCCCTATTGATTATCCATCTTATCATGAAGTAAGGTATTGCAGATATTTAATATTTCCGCCGTCAATAGGTCATCGCGCCAGACTAATGAAAGTGGTCAACGCAGACATTAAAGTGGCCGTCTGACCAGTGGCTTTAGGCGGTCAACAACGAGCGTGCTACTCTACATAAAAAAGTTCAGGTTTAACCTACGTCCACACTATCAAATTTTGTGACAAATATATATGATGTGACTGTTAGGTGTAATATGACATCATCGTACCTATATACTGCCGCATCAAACAGATTTGTCACATAATTTTATAGTGTGGTCAGATCTTTAGCCGTATTTTAGTTACAAATGCGCATAACCAGAAGAATGTCAAGGTATATGACAAAACATTCATATACAATTTTGAACTACAATGAACTAGCGCACAGCGTGTTTAATATAATAGGTCTAAGCACACATTCTTAGTGCCAATTATACGGTGCTAATCAGTAGAGGAAGAAAATTAATCATAGAACCTATTTTCTAGGTGTTTCAGATCAATACACTAATACAACGTTTCCGGCCGGAGCTCAATACCAATCACGCCAGGGCTTCAGAAACTGTCCCACGCATTCCACCGATCCATCATTATCATTTAACAGAATTAACGTCACTGTCTTAGAGAACCGCTTAAAGGTGAGTTGTTATATTGCGTAAAGGACTAATACTGTGAATCACATTATGATTTATTTTTAAGTCTGGACCAACCCTAATAATCATCATTTCTATTATACAAACACATACACACATACACTAATAAACATACACATACATAGACAGATATACACGTAGGTCAAGGCACACAAACACATATAAACACACCCATACATAGACAAAATTTGACCAATAAAACATAGACACAGAGGCCTACCACAGACACATAGTCACACAAACGTATGGAAATATGCACCTATAAGTGGAACTCACAGTGATTAGTTGTGTTACTAATATGACCACAAGGGTATTAATTTAGTAACATATAAACATCTGTCAAATTGTATGTGACAAATATATATATGTTATCACATCACGCAAATTTGTGACATAACATTTTGTAGTGGGGGCATATAACATAATATAACTGGATTTTTCTCCTCAATCTTTGCAACTCATAATGGAAATAATAATCTTGCAAAAGAAGATTAAAATGTCAGAGAAAACGAAGGCCAATTTTCTTACCTAAAGTGTCATTTCTCTATCTCAACAGGACAGAGGTGAGTTGCCTGTTTGTCCAACTTATATTTTACAACCGTATCCACATTTTAAAGGGTCTTGTAGTATTATTTAACAGTGGTGGCGCCATGATTTGCCCGAGGGCGATGTCCCCAACAAAAAACAAGGAGCGTGGTCGGGCGACGCTCAAAATCTCTCGAAAATGTTCCAGGGGAAAAATATGACAATTAAGGGGTTTTAAAGGCTTATTTAATCGATTTTGGAGTCTGCTAATTATGTAGAAAATACGAATTGTGGTTTTTCTCGGCGTTTAATCTCTACCGGGGATGAGTTCTTTGCTCGGACAATGTGGGGCCTGTGCTAAATAGGCGAGACGGGGGTTTTAATTTGGGCTTAATTATAAACCGTATCACTGACTGCTCCCCTTAGGCCTACACTTTACCACCCGACCTCCCACCTTACAATACAATACAATACATAGGCTATCCAGGCGACCAAAATGACTGCACTACGTACGTTTAAATCGCTGTTCATACTATCACATGCTATGCCACAAATAAAAGTGATATGCCCATATTTGGGTGTAATATGACAACACCATGCCCATATACAGATTTGTCACTTAATATTTGATAATGTGGACAAAGATTAAATTTCATGAGACTTGATTTATATACAGTATTATATTTTGTTAAAAGGATTGTCACCTATGCTGCAGACAGTGCTAAATATCGCTATTGGCAATCTTTGGTCCATGGGCATAAGTAAACATATAAATAAATAATAAAATAAATATGTCTTTTATCCATTATTTTGAAGGACTCTGTAGTTGTGAGACTAAACATTACATCTCAAAAAACAACCTGCGTCGTCCGACCATCTCAGTTACAGGCGTATTTTGATTTACAATATTCAACAGTTGGCAACCGACCAGGTATAGTTATTAATATAACGCAATAATTGTCAATTATTAAGTATCATTAAGGTTAATATTCTATTTATTATACTGGGGCTATTATCATAATCATTATACTGTAGGTAATATTATTATTATTATTATTATTATTATTATTATTATTTTGTTATTATTATTATTATTATTTTGTTAATAAAACCTACCTCCTTAAAGGGAACTTAGACAATTAGGAAAGTAGAGAACAATTAAGAAAACGACGTTAAGGGGAAAATAACACAAAAGATATTCCAAATCCAAGTTAGTGCCAGTTATTATTATTATTATTATTATTATTATTATTATTATTATTATTATTATTATTGTTATTGTTATTGTTGTTGTTGTTGTTGTTGTTGTTGTTGTTGTTATTATAATTATTATTATTATTGTTGTTGTTATTGTTATTGTTATTGTTATTGTTATTATTATTATTATTATTTATTATTATTATTATTTTTTATTATTATTATTATCATCATCATTAAATAATAAATAGTGTGCGTGGTTTTAATTTGATTGGAACTCTGTAAATGTCAATTGTAAGTAAGTGCTCAATGCGCGCCATACCATATTATTTAATTGGCGTTCAATTCTCTATTTATAATTATTTTGCATTACATCATCAATATAGAATGTTTGCTTTTTTTCTAGTCCTGCTCCTGGTGATCAAAAAGACAATACCTTACCACATTAGTTCCGATGGTGTGATTGATTTCATTGTAAGGACCCGTGTGGGGCGCAGTTCTGCTGACATTAAAAAGATCAACTTAATTCATATTTCAATCGAAAGTCTGCAGATGGAACTAGTCAGTGTACCGTCCCACCAGAAAATTGTCTATCGAAAAGCACTTAATTATAGCCGGGTAATCAATTATATAAAAAAATATTTGTATTTTTATGTTTAATTTTAAATTTATTATAAAGTTTATTATTAGGTTTAATATTGTATTATTAATGTTATTATTTTTATTATTAGGGTTTTTTATGATTATTATTAAGTTTATTATTATTATTATTATTATTATTATTATTATTATTATTATCGTTATCAGTATTACTGTTGCTATTGCTATTCTTATAATATTATTATTGTTATTTTTACTATCATCGTCGTCGTCAAAAACATAATTTTCGTAATTATCATCATCAAAATCAACATCATCATCATCAATTAAGATTATCAATCATCAACATCAGTCATCATCGTCATCATCATCATCATCAGTTATCAATCATCATCATCAACATCATCATCATCATTATCATCATCATCAGTCATTAGTCGTCAATCATCAATTATCAATCATTAATTATCATCATTTACAGTACAGAAACAACAATTATAAAGATCAATGACGATGTTATGTATGCTCTAGACAAAGGACTCTGTGTTTTTGCATATACTTAGATCTATCAGCTGCATTTGACACCATCGACCATACAATGTAAGACCTGTCTCTTATACACATCTAGATGTGTATAAGAGACAGATGCTATACTGTGCCATCATCCTGCAAACGTCGTACTATCCTACATTGCCATGATCACCTACTATTCATGGTATATGCTGTACCATCCTACATGACTGTAATCATCCACCATGCATGGTCTGTGCCATACCATCATCCTACATGGCTGTGATCATTTACCATTCATGGTTTATGCCATATCATCCTACATGGCCATATCACCTACCATTCATGGTCTATGCCGTACCATCCTACATTTCTGTAATCCACCATGTATGGTCTATGCCATACCATCCTACATGGCCATAATCATCTACCATGATTCACTACCTAGCCCCTGTCTCTTATACACATCTAGATGTGTATAAGAGACAGGTCCTGCTCCTGGTGGTCAAAAAGACAATACCTTACCACATTAGTTCCGATGGTGCGATTGATTTCATTGTAAGGACCCGTGTAGGGCGCAGTTCTGTTGGCATTAAAAAGATCAACTTAATTCATATTTCAATCGAAAGTCTGCAGATGGAGCTAGTCAGTGTACCGTCTCACCAGAAAATTGTCTATCGAAAAGCACTGAATTATAGCCGGGTAATCAATTATATAAAAAAAATATTTGTATTTTTATGTTTAATTTTAAATTTATTATAAAGTTTATTATTAGGTTTAATATTGTATTATTAATATTATTATTTTTATTATTAGGGTTTTTTTAATGATTATTATTAATTTTATTATTATTATTATTATTATTATTATTATCGTTATCATTATTACTGTTGCTATTGTTATTCTTATATTATTATTATTGTTATTTTTACTATCATCGTCGTCGTCAAAAACATAATTTTTGTAATTATCATCATCAAAATCAACATCATCATCATCAATTATGATTATCAATCATCAACATCAGTCATCATCGTCATCATCATCATCATCAGTTATCAATCATCATCATCAACATCATCATTATCATCATCATCAGTCATTAGTCGTCAATCATCAATTATCAATCATCAATTATCATCATTTACAGTACAGAAACAACAATTATAAAGATCAATGACGATGTTATGTATGCTCTAGACAAAGGACTCTGTGTTTTTGCATATACTTAGATCTATCAGCTGCATTTGACACCATCGACCATACAATTCTCATCAATAGACTTGACGAAATTGGCTTCTCAGGAAAAGCGCTTGAATGGTTTTGCTCCTATCTAACATCTAGAAAACAATCACTTCGTGTTTCTACTTCGGTATCTGCCCCTGAAAATCTCTATTGTGGTGTACTTCAATGTTCCACTTTAGGACCAATACTTTTCCTTACCTACGTTCGTCCACTTAGTCAAATAATCTCCAAACATGCATGCAAATACCATATATATGCTGATGACATCCAACTTCATATATCATTTAAATCTCAGTTACTTGACGAAGCAGTGAAGTCTATAGAAGCATGTCTAGTAGATGTCCAGTCATGGTTAGTATCAAATAAGCTCTGTTTCAACCTTAGCAAGGCAGAAGCTCTATTTTTCCACTTGCGCTATTGTAAAAACTTGCCAACTGATGTCAGAATTAGTGTTGGTAACACCACCATCTTCTCATCCACTACATCTCGAAATATTGGAGTCATTTTCTATTCTTCCATGACGCTAGAACAACATCTTAAATACATCTGCAAATCTGCCTCCTATCATATCAGAAACATCAGGCACATTAGACGTTTCTTAAATGAAGATGCTGCATCCAAGCTTGTACATGCTTTGGTTACGTCCCGGATTGACTACCGTAATGGATTCCTTTGTGGATTACCAAACTCGATGATCAAGAAAATACAACACCAATTCAATTCTGCAGTTTGCCTTATTAAACAAATTCCTAAAAGACATCACATTACCCTTATACTCAGATCACTTCACTGGCTTCCAGTACGACAACGTATTGCATTTAAAATTCTTGTCTTTACTTACAAAACCTTTATAATTCCTTGCCATTTTACCTTAAGGAACTCATTCAGCTCCGGTCAACATCATGCAGTAGAACTCTTAGATCTACGTCAAGCTCTACAGCTCCTAAACTTTGGAACGCACTTCCCAGTACCATTCGTGAATCAACCTCCCTTGCGGTATTTAAATTAAGACTTAAAACACACCATTTTCAAACCTTGTAATTTTTTCTTTTGTTATTTTCATATTTTTGATAGCCTATATAATTACCCAACACCATTACAGCATCTGTGAGTGGTGATCTTGCCAACTGCTGCTTAATTGCTAGTGGTCTCAAATTGCAGGAAAACGATGGCAGCGGTGTTGGCTCTTCTGCAATTGTCTGTCGCTTCTGACTTTTAGTTTCTGTGCAGCCTAGGATAGCTTTGTTTTTTCTTGTTCTGCGCATAGAGACCATGTACTTTGCGCTATAAAAGTCTCTAAACATTACCATCATTATTATTATCATCATCATCATCATTTGTTAAACGTTGTTGATGGAGCGCTCGAAAGCGTACCTCATAGCGCTAAATAGGAACGTCATTTCGTATATTGTGTTAAAATATTACAATACCTTTTCACAATATTTACGCTTATGTGGCACATGGTTGAAATTATATTCGTATTTCCCCAGATTTTTCAACCTAGAGTTACTGACGTCATCTATGCATCTTCTTCTAAGCTTGTATACAGACTTGAGACTGTAGATTCCAAGGAACTGGAAGGGTTTTTAAATATCACACCTTCATCTGCAATCGTCTACGTTCAAAATACCTTTCGTATATCTAAGTTACGCAATACAAAAACAAGGATTTCAATTCGTATATTCGTGGAGGACACTCTGTTGGGTAAGCAGTGGAAGTTCGAAGACACCGTAAAGTTAAAAGGAGGTGAGTGCATGGTATGGGCAGTAGGGAAACATTTAGAGGACAGGGAGGGCATTCCCCAGTCGGACATACCTGAACCCCCGTCGTCCGACGACCAAAAATAACAACAAGCCTACATCTAAATAACGTTATTTTAATTGCCAGTTTTTTAATAATATTAGAAACTGATATTATCATATGGTCTGAAAGCACAATTTGGGTCATACTAAGCCATAAAAGGCTTCAAATAAACTATACCAAGACTGTTTTTTTTTTATTCCGGGACCCTGACGATGCTGTAATTAGCACCTTGGTTTTGACCCCTCTGTTAGACATGTCGGAACCCCTGTGTGCAAATTTCTGGAGCCACCACTTGGAATCAGCTAGCCTGGGCTGCCGGCCCTAATTTTTGGTTACTCACTCTTTATTATGCGCTTAGTGCGCGCCTTGCCTAATTTAATTGGCGTCCCATACTCGATTTTTTTTTTCGGATTAGGCTTATTTCGTCGCTAAATTAACTTACTCGTTAGTGGCGCTGTCCAGAATGAATAATAATAATAATAATAATAATAATAATAATAATAATAATAATAATAATAATAATAATATAATAATAATAATATAATAAGGGACTTGTGGCAAGTCTAGGAATCAGCAAGTTGCGTACTGATAATGGGATAAATATCGATTTTATTCCTATTTTTCGGATTAGGCTTATTTCGTCGCTAAATTAACTTACTCGTTAGTGGCGCTGTCCAGAATGAATAATAATAATAATAATAATAATAATAATAATAATAATAATAATAATAATAATAATAATAATAATATAATAAGGGACTTGTGGCAAGTCTAGGAATCAGCAAGTTGCGTACTGATAATGGGATAAATATCGATTTTATTCCTATTTTTCCTACTCTTGGTCCAAGTCCACTTCTGTTATATTTCATTAATCTATATATTTACTATTTGGTATTCGCATCATGCTGAAGCATCCTGCTTATTGGAGTTTTTGCTGGAGTTGTCCACTTCAATCATTGTGCCTAGGAAAAAACACCGGGTTTTATTTGTTTCCAATAGAAAAAGAATAACATAAAATTCTGCATTACCAGATCACTGAAAGTTTGCTTTAGTATTGTATTCATTTTTATTTCTTGCAGAAGTCAGAAAAGAACACTGTGGTAAGTAATTCTTGATCAATTAAATTCAACACAAGTATCGAAAATTGTATTATGTCAGATATTCCTGTATTCGACATAATTTAGCTTGAAACGTGATTTTTTTAAATTACTAATTGTGGGTTAGTGGTTAACATGCTCACATTCCAATAATGTGTTTTATTTAAAAAAAAATTATAATAAGTACAGTACAGCACATAATTGGTTCTTATTCACAGGTTCACAATCATGTTCAAATTCAGAACACAATACACGTGACTTGTGCACAGGCCGCTGTGGACTGGGCGCCAAAGAATCAGGATGTATTTGGACTGTAGCAGACAACTTTATAACGTGTTCCAGTGATCCGAAGACGTGTCCAGATGACACCTGTGATGAACTGGAGAGGATGGATTTTAATATATGTCCCCAAGACTGTGTTGGTGAGTATTTTTGTTTTGGAAAAAAAAAATTTACTTCGCAAAGTCGAACTGAAAGGTTCATGAGATTGTTATTAATTATTTTTGTGTTTCTGATTCCTATTGTTTTTTTTTACCCTTGTAAATGTTGATGCAATTCAGTTTGTGCTGCAAAATCAAAATGTTTTAATAATAAACCAGAATAAATAAATTTAAAAACAAAATGAGATTGTGAGTTTTCTACTTATCTGGTCTATATAGTCTGCAGTGGCGTCCCGGGCCCTTCTAAATTTTTCAAAATTATGAAAAAAAAAGGAAACATGAAAATTATATCCATTTTTAAAGCCAAGCTTCCGGAGGGAAAAAAATCAAAATGTTTTTACAACTGACTTTCTGTAATATTATTTTGAATATATCTTTGTCATTTATTCACCATTTTAAATAAATGAACTTTTATCCCATTCATTTGTAATTGTTTTGTTTTTTTTTGTTTTTTTGTATTTTTTGTGTTTTTTGTTTTTTGTTTTTTGTTTTTTTTTTGCTCTTGTGTCTCAGTGGGCTGTATGTGGGAAAAGCCTGGGGACACAAAGAATGTTTGACGAAAATTTGCTTAGGAGCTTTGCCCATACCAGAACCAGAAACAACATCTCACAGTGTCTTAAATTACGAATTACATATATTGAACTTTTTATGTACAAGAGATTATACAGTGGTCCTTTACATAAAGAGGTCCTTAAATTTTTTTAAAAGTTTACAATAATGGTTACAAAACAAACTAATCTGATAAATTTAAATTAGGATTTTATCTGAACATTAAAGGAAAAAATCACAGATTCCAGTACTTAACAAATATTAAGTTAATATATATGTATATACATTTTTTAAAATCAAATTGGAGAAACGTTTCTTTCCTATCTTTAGTATCGATATGTTTAATCGATATTAAGTCGTTGATAATATTATTGAATAAATTCCTTTGATCCAAACGGTAAGTGTGTCTTGAAGGTTCTTTTACATGATCCAAAATCAAGTGTAAAATTAGGATGTTATTCAGTATTTATTTCTTGTTTACCGTCATGGTTCATCAGAGCTGATATCGGAAAGCCAACCAGTACACTTGACCTAGGACCATCTAAAAGAATCTTTAGAACACACGTTGATAATATTGCTATAAAATTATGAAGAATCACTTACGTATGTTACATATATTTTTAATTTTTATAAAATAATAATTTATTAATATATGTGTAGAGGTGTGTGTGGGGAGTGTGTGGGGGGGTGTGCGTATGTATACATCTTAATAGGTAATGTGCAGAAATGGAACAAAACTTAAGCGCAAAGTAATATATTACCAATATTATATATTGCCAATGTCTCACTTCACGTTTATGCGTATATATATAAAATGTATATAATATACTGCACATAACATGTAGCTTAATTTAAATCTTATGTGTTTATTATTTTATCATCTTTTGGATTATCAATTAGTTTATAAACCAAATATCTCAACATCCACAAATGACGGTAGTAGCAGTAATGACAAAGACTCGTCGATTTGCGGAGTGCTTTGTCGTCTGTCCATCATATTCGGGTGCCTAGTGTTCTGCTGCGTTGTGGTGCTTCTGATTTGGCGAAGTGGCTGCATTCGATGCGTCCATCGTGGGTTCCATAAACTTCCCTTTGGAGCACATGTCGACATGCAAATGACAGCGATCAACGCCAATTATGCTCAAAATGAAATATTCTACAGAGTGCAAGATATCCGACCAACAACTCAACAGTACAAATTAGACGTAAGTGCCAGTCTTTCACAAAACGTGAACTTCCGAGTTTCCGATCTTAGAAACTGGGAAGGTTAATTTCACCGAAAGTAGATTGCCTGAGCGAATATTGAGGTCCGATTGTCGCGGTTACCTTAAAAAAGGAATCCTATCTAGAAAAGTACTACCACGATCTAGAGGGCGTCATTCAAAGGAAAGTAAAAGACGTTCATATCGAACGGGTGCCGCGTTTGATAAGCCAATTCGTAGTTTGAAGTGCACATGCCTGTAAGCAAAGTCATCCAAGACACCCTGATAAGGCCATGCATATGTGAATCTACGAATTGGCTTATAGAACGCATGTTCGAGTTTCGAACTCTAATCAAATTCTAATAGGGCGCCTCCTATCTTGTGGTAGTATTTTTGTTTTTCGTTTCGTTGCGTGAATGCGAAATCAAGACTGTCGGACCTCTTGCTATTCTATACTCTTTGATATTACTTAACATCGCTAAAAATATTGAAGTGACCTTTTTTCATCTAATCCACATAATTGTTCTCCTACCTGCTGTCAGTTTTGCTATTCTGTTACCTATTAATTTAGTAATACTATTTTTTTTAATGGACCTTTCTGCTAAACTCCGCTCCGAGAAATATTTTGCTAATGCCCCACAAAACTACTGTGGTAGAAATACGCAAACACGTACGTTTAAGGGAAAACGCGTGGTCTTTTTAGACACGCGCGCCTATTCTTGGCTCTATTCTGATTGGTCATTTGTTAAGTTTGATTGACACTCTAGAAAGATCCTTTAAATAATATGTATAACTAAAAAAGTTCTATAATAATTCTGTTACTGTTTAGATAGGTGAGAGATCATTCTTTGATAATACAGCAAAGCTACTCTTTCCCGAAGAATATCTGGTCGTACCTCATGGTTGAAGGGGTAGTATTTAGCCCTATGCCTATTAATATAAACACTTACTGAATAAAGCTTTTGCAAAGTTGATACAGAGACAACCACTGTAATAATGATTGATCTTTTCTATTACAGTGTGATCAGAAGTGGGAATTTCCAAGGTGTAATCTTTTATTTCAAGGCATTTTAGGTGAAGGTGAATTTGGAACAGTTGTCAAAGCGCAGGCGCTGAATATTCGTGGACACACAGGCTATAAAACGGTTGCTGTCAAAATGTTAAAACGTGAGTGTTTGCATTCAATTTCAAGTGTACTTGTCAGTTAGGTAATGTGCTCAGAGCGTTTTATACGCAGTGACGCAAACGCAAGCAACGCTAACGCTTGGTTCCACGCCAGAGCGGGTTAAACGCAGTTGCGCAAACGCAGAACTTGCTAAATCTCAGTTCACACTAGAGCGATTTAGACACAGTGGGGCAAACAAATACGATGCTAAAATTCAGTTAAACTAACGCAATTTAGACGCAGTGACGAAAACACAATGGTAAATCTTGGTTCACACACCAGAGCAATTTATACGCAGTGATGCAAGTAATGCTAAACTTGGTTTACACTAATTGTATACGCATTGGCGCAAACGCAAGTGATGCTGAAGTTTGGTTTCCACTTGAGTTATTTTGACACAGTGACGCAAATACAAGCATGATTCACAATATAGCAATTTAGACAGTGACAAAACGCAAGAAATGCTAAGCTTGTTTCATAATAGAGACATTTAGACGCGTAGACGCAAACTCAAACACTAATTAAAGCTGAGTTAACACTAGTACAGTTTCGACGCAATGACGCAAACACTAGTAATTCTAAAGCTTGGTTAACATCGAACGAGTAAGATTGATTCGTTTAGGCAAATACAAGCAGTGCTAAAGCTTGGTTTACACTCAGTGCAATTTAGACAAATACTGCTGAAGCTTGTTTCACGCGCGCGAGGGTAATTTAGACGCTTAGATGCAAACAAAAACCTTGGTTCACACTTTGGAGATTCAGACGCCTTGAAGCAAACACAGCAATAATGAATCTGGGTTCACACTAGAGTAATTTTAGACGCGCAAATACTAGCAATGCCCAAGTTTGGTTCACAGTTGGAAAATTTATGCCTATTCTTTATTGATCACTCTGCTCTTATTTTCCGCAGCGTGTGCGTCTGACGTAGATATGCGTGACTTAGTAACAGAGCTGAACCTACTCAAGCAAGTAAACAATCCAAATGTTATACGGTTGCTAGGCGCATGCTCACAAAAAGGTATGGGTTATTAAAATTTAGTATTATTATTATTATTATTATTATTATTATTATTATAAGAAATCAGCTGTAACATATATATTAAAATAAATACATACTTTTTCGCTTTAAACTAAATAAACAAAGTTTTTACTGCACAACATGCCCGTTAATTGCTTATAAGGACAATATGTGCATTCAATTAAGATTAGAGCCAAAATTTGTGCCGCGTTTTCGATGCGCTGAACGCCAGCGTCCCTATTCTTATACACAGATTCTATTTTCTGATCGGGTTGGTAGCCTTTCAGATCAAAAATTAAAAAAAAAAAAAAATAGAATTCTGTGTGAATGCATCTTTAGTACCGATGGGTTTCAACATCCTCGCCTGATCAATTCCATTCTGCTCTACTGAAGTTAAAGACAGGCCAAGCCTTTGGTTCTCAAGTTGGTATATATACTGTGTGTCTGCAGGCCCGTAGGCAGGTTCTTCCAAGGGGGTGGGGGGATTTCTGGGCGTGAGGTCCACAGTCGATACCCTGTTGGGGTCTGCGAAACCCCCAAAGCAAGAGGATCTTTGTGCTTTATGAGTCTAAGTAATGCTATAAAAGCAGATATGTTTGAAAATGCCTGTGTCTGAGTGGATCTGGAGTGCATTAGTTGGGTTGGAGGACTTATTTGGGAAATTTAAAGAGGGGGTTTCGCCAGAAAAGATGGGGGTTTGCTAGAAAAGGGGGTTCTTCCGAACCATTAAAAACCCCTGGATACGGGCCTGGTGTCTGTCATGCTGCACCATGAGCACCGTATTAGCAAAAGGTATAGAACTGCAAGAGGTCAGACTCTGTTTCTTTAAAAGTACTGCCAAGGGGCGTGTCCTTAAAAGACGAGTTTCGAGCGAACTCTATTCTACTTTTAATAGCGCGCCCCCTATCTTGTTGCAGTACTTTTTTTAACGTCCCATCGGGCATACAAAATCAGAGCAGTCGGATCTCTTTTAATTCTGTACTCTTTGGTATATCACTAGTATAGTACAGACTTTTTCACTATCAATAACATATCGCAATCAACAGAAAACTCTATCACGCGATTTAATTAATGCTCGGTGTTTTTGTATAGGTCCATTGCTGGTCATAGTAGAATATTGTGAAAATGGATCGCTTCGCAAATTTCTGAGAGAACATCGAAAAAGACCAATATACAATGACAACACACCGACACCGAATTCAGAACGATCTCTGCCGTACGACGACTTCGCATATCATTCGAAACATAACGATTTAGGACCTCGGGATCTACTGAGTTTTGCCTGGCAAATTTGTAAAGGAATGCATTATCTTTCAACGTTAAAGGTAAACAGGGATACATATTAACAGTCAACTGTGAACAAGATAAATTGCCTACGCACTTATCTCGAATACTGATAATAAACATTATAATAATTATACTTGTAATGACAATGGAAAAAAATAGATAATAAGATGCCGATGATGATAATGATAATGCAAATGACAAATACAATAATAATGTTAATAATAATAATAATAATAATAATATTAATAATAATAATAAGAATAATGATGATGTCGATGAAATAATAATGATACCAATAACAAATAAATAGCAATAACGCTAATAATATGATAATACAAATATTTAATGATAAAAAAAAAATACAATGGAGAAAATCGCCGTCTAGTCCTATCAGTCTATTGATAATAAACATTATAATAATTATTTGTAATGACAATAGAAAAAAATAGATAATATTATGCCGATGATGATAATGATAATGCAAATGATAAATACAATTATAATGTTAAATTAATAATAATAATAACAATAATAATAATAATAATAATAATAATAATGATGATGATGATGTTGATGAAAATAATACGGTAATGATACCAATAACAATAACAATAGCAATAACGCTATATAATAATATGCTAATACAAATATTTAATGATAAAAAAAATACAATGGAGAATTTTGCCGTCTAGTCCTATCAGTCTATTGATAATAAACATTATAATAATTATATTTGTAATGACAATGGGAAAAAATAGATAATATTATGTCGATGATGATAATGATAATGCAAATGACAAATACAATTATAATGTTAAGTTAATAATAATAATAATAATAATAATAATAATAATAATAATAATAAGGATAATGATGATGTTGATGAAAATAATAATGATATCAATAACAATAAAAATAGCAATAACGCTATATAATAATATGCTAATACAAATATTAAAGACAAAAAAATACAATGGAGAATATCGCCGTCTAGTCCTATCAGTCTTTAAACGGCAAATGGCCAGCTAGATAGTTTAAGCTCAATTCACACTATCAAATTGTATGAAAGCAATTTGTATGATGTGCTTATATAATTACCATGGTGATGTAATATTACACCCAAATATGGGCATATCACATTATTGTCAATTTACATCTGATAGTGCGGACAGAGGTTTGGAAATCATTGTGACCAATTGGTTTTTGGTATTATTATTCGTTTATAAGAGAACTGCGCTTTATAACACCAAGGAAGAGGCGCATTATAAATGCCCATACCAGTACCAGTACAGACGAATACAAGAGAACTTTTTTGAACGGCGCCCTCTTTTGTCGACGCCCTTACTGTCTGGGGTGGCATTTCCGACGTTGGAAGATGTTTAAATACACGAAATGTACTTAACTTTGATAATTTTTTTTAGTTTGAAGACTGACGGCATTATTCAGCTGCAAAATGAAAAGCCGGATTTCTCAATGGTACTGTGTTTATAACCACACCGCATTAACATTTTGGGAGTAGGCCTAGGACGACTCCCGGACTCCCCAGTAATGGTGTCGACAACAGAGGGCGCCATTCTTCGGGATTCGTCTATATGTACCAGTACAAGTATCATTATTTTCGTATTTCTGAAAGGGCCACATATTATTTCTGTGTGTTTATTTTCTCATTTCAGCTAGTACACAGGGATCTTGCCGCCCGTAATGTGTTGGTGGCTGAGGGTCTCGTTATTAAGATTTCAGATTTTGGTCTCATGAGAGATATATATGAAGCAGACGCATATAAAAGAACTAGCAAAGTAAGTCACTATTAGTTTTGTTGTTCCAAGTGTTTGTCGAAAAATAATGTGCCAGGAACCTGAACCTGAGAAGCTTACCGTAAATGCTCGAATAAGCGCCGCAACGCTTATAAAAAAAAAAATTTTGAAAAAAAATATTGGCGTGGAGCTTTCCTTGCCCGTTTCCATGTTACCTATTTTACGTTTTGCCGTAGTTCAGTAGCCTATCACTGTAAACAAACGTTTATACGAAATGTTTGTGTCTTCATTGAGTTATTTATTCATTTTAACTCCGTATACATTGAATTTAAAAACTTCATTACACACAGGGTAATATTATATACTCTCGATTAAGCGCCGCGGCGCTTATTCGAGAGCGGCGCCTAACGAAAAAAATCTTGTTTGGTGCGGCGCTTATTTGAGAATTTACGGTAGCTCAGTTGGCTGAGTGGTAGCCATTGTATAGACATAGAGTACCAAAGTCGTGTCGTAACAACACCAGGAGGCGCCCCATGGACGTTGATTACCGTTTATTACGCCTGAATGACCTCATAATCTTAATGGTTTAGAATAGGCTTTCTGGAATAGGCATTTTAAAACTTAATAATTTACCATCAAAATGTACTAAACCACAAGAAAGCTAGCATTATTTCAATTTTCCAATTTCTTCAAAAATGACCTCCAAACAAGAAAAAGCATTCATAAAAACACGTTCAAGGATTGGAATATAACATTGACTTAAATATTATAGGCCCTATTAGTTGTCGAACACATATTTAATCATCAATTAACATTTACAAGGAAAAATTAAAATACAACTTCTTAATAATTACGTTATAAATTGGGAACAATGGTTTGTCGGTCGAGAAAATGGCGTCGGTTGAACTCATTATTTTTGTGTCGTCGATGGCAACGGAGTAGTATCAGGTGGTATCGTGACGTAACACTGTAGTACTCTATGTGGTTATAGGAAACGGTTAACTCTTAGTTCTCAGTTTACTCAGCTGTATAGTTGTGTACCTGGGTAAATATGCTGACACAGATTAAAGCATCTGGCTACTCTACCATACGATGCCATGGCTTAGTGCGATGGCCTCCTAACGTTCCTTTACGTTAAGTTAAGCCGGACAAACGCAGCATCGCACGAACAATTCATTTCTGCTCTTGTTGGTTGACGACGTAGTTTTTCTGTGGCAGTCTGAGCGAAGCGTCATCAATAAACACGCTCAGTTACGCGCGTCGATACTTCACTTTTGCGTACAGTGTGTGGCTTTATGATGAATCCTAACTACCTTTACCTTTATATTACACCATTTCAGGGTAGAATTCCGGTAAAATGGATAGCAATTGAATCATTGTATGATAACGTGTACACTGCAAAGAGTGACGTGTAAGTAGTGTGATTTTCATTTTGTTATATCCAATATAAGATGAAAGGATACATATATACCCAATATAATGTGTATCCTTTCACAATGGTATCTGATCAGTTTTGTCGAAACCCAATTTGATGAGTTCATGCCCACTTTGCCGAAACTAAGCTTGCCGGATCTAGTTTACCAGCGAGTCGAAAGGCCGAGCGGTTAAGACAGGGACGCCGCAACTTAGAGCCATAATATCGGTGCTGGTTCGAAAGGTATGCTCCTATGGTTTTGGTGGTAGAACAAGTGTTCTCGGATAAGGACTCTAAACTGTAGGCCCAGTGTACACAATTTGCTCGTGTGCACTTTAAAGAACCAATGCTCAGTACATTCTTCTAAAACAGTAGGGATTACCCCAGTGTACTGTCTATTCAGCCAATGTCGCTGTGGACAGACGAAAGTGCGCCTCTTGGCAGCTGATTTGACATGATGTGACCCTTACGGGTGAAGAAATTTGTTGAATGAGTTAGTCCACGCCTGTGCGTAATACAGCCTAGTTAGAGCTGCAACCACAAGTTATCTTCTTACCTTTACCTACCAAAATCATGACAACCCACTTTGCCGAAACCCAGTTTGCCGAATCTTGCTATCACCGTCGTACAGCTGTACAGTATACTGTGCTTTTGAAAACATGATGGGTTGGTCAGGGAGGAGCCGTATTTATCAAATATAGGCTCAAATTAAAGGCCGGCAAAATATTCGAAAACAACAATTTGTGGAAAAACACAATTGAAAGCATGGCTATCATTTTAAAAAGTGGAAATATAATAAAATGAAGGATTAAACATCGTATCCCCACCCCTCCGGTGTCCGACATTCGGACAAAATATGATTATTTGCTTATCAAAATAACAGTATTTTGAGTGCCAATCCCTAATATTTTGGCCACACTGAGCCATTTATATATATTAAAGTGTATTTTTCCATGTATTTTTGTATTTCAAATTAGTTATAAAATTGCAATGTATATTATAAGTAATTATCAATAGAATTTGACATAGAATTTTAATTAATTTAATATTTTAGAAAAATTATTGTATAAAATAATTAATTGTTTTTAATGTATTTATTTTTGTTTCATACTTGCAAATTCTTTATTTGTGCATTTTATTTTTAACTTGGCACTGAATGTATTACTGTCGCTGCTTTTGTGTTTTCTCGTGTTGTTTATTTATTGATTGCTGTATTGTTAAACTTTAATTTTGTTTTCAAAATTGCAATAAAGATTATAGAATTTATAAATAGTAAAATAGCAGGCTTGTACGCAGGGCGAGGGAGGGGTGAGGGTTGCGACGGGTGCGTACGCACCCCCTCCAAATTATCAAAGGTCTGCTTTTTGAGGGGTTGAAAATTACAGACATAGTCTCCTTCGTTCCAGAAATCCATCCACCAAAACTCCTGGACCAGTCAGAGCAGTTTACAACTAGGGCTGCCTCTAATTCGTCGTACAGACAAGGACTTTTAACTGAATTTGTGTGGATTACCGTACTTGCGCGAATAAGCGCCCTGTTTAAGTAAGCGCCCCTTCTAATTTGAATAAGTGCCCCCCCCCCCCTCAATAATACCATAAGATTAATACCATAATCAATAATCTAATTAATCTTGGGACTGTGGTTGTTGGCATGATTTGAGCTGCAGAGTGGACTACTATTTTTCTTTAAGGTCCATATCAAAATGAGAATATTTCTCTTGGATATCTGAGAGCTCTGATGCCTGGACAGATAGTATTTCCAATTTTCCTCTTATATATATGTCTAGGCCTAGTCCAACTTCTCTTTTTCTTATTCCGACAATTTGCACCTTTAGCACATTCTCATCTGAGTTTTCAAGAAAACCGGCAATGATCCTGCCATCCTGTTAATCTCAATCGGCCGATGGCCAACAAGCTAACCACTACCCACCTTTATTAATTGCATCTGCTATTCTGCGGTAATGTAAATATTCACAGCATTCTTGTCATGAGCCATGTTCTCTGGAGGATTATCTTTTCCACCGCACCACCATTCGTAAGGTTCATATATAATCATTTTTCATTTAAAAGTGCCTCTCGAATTTAATAAGTTCCTATAAGGACCCCTCGATTTTCATCTATTTCCATAATCTCCCCTTCAATTTTCCACTCTGTTTTCATAAGCGCCCCGTTTAAATAAGCGCCCCGTTTGAATAAGCGCCCTGCAGAAAATGCAAACAAAATATTTTAAGTGCCCGTGCACTTATTCGCGCGAGTGCGGTAACTGTTTTCCCTACCCTCTTCCCAATCAGATCAGTATGTAGCTTTATTTTATACTTGATTTTTTTTCTTACGTCACATCCACGACGTAAAGAGCTTGTAATTATTCGTTCGTATATCGCAATTTGCCTTAATTACATGTATTTACTACATAACATTTACCTTTATTTATTAGTATTTTCAATGCCCAATAATATTTTGGACTTGTTTTAATTATGCGCTTATAGGTCTACATTATTTCTTTTACTTTTAAATCTAACAATATTTTAATTACATTGTGCTATAATGTTATGCAATCACTCATAGGTCCTACCATAATTATACATTTTCCGACCTTAATCCCCAACCATGATGGGGATAAGGTGGTATAAACACTTCATCTGTGAAAATCCCTCCAGCACCCACCTAAATGTGTCACTTTAAAACAATTTAATATCTGAGGGCGAGGGAACTCCGCCCCTCGACCCCAGAAAGGATCTGCGGCCAACAGCCATTTTGATCCACTCTCCGCAAATTCGCACCCACCCAATAAAAATCCTATGTACGGGCGTGAATAGTAACTAGAATAAGGTGTTTATTATACAAATACTGTGATCACATCGCGTTGGAATGGTTTCTAAATTTTTGAAAGTCGTCTCAACTCTGGTCGGCCCTGGCCCTGACTTTCCACAGGCGTCGTGACCAATTATGCAGATGCAGTCATTGTAAGAGAATTCTCCATTGTGAATTTTATGCTGTTTTTAATGTTTTACTGCTTCTAAAATTGAATTTCCAACAACTGGGTTTTTGCAAACTGGGATTCATGGTTTTTAAGTCGGCAAACTGGCGTTCGGCAAACCAGGTTTTGGCGGAGTGGACTCGGTAATCTAGCTTTCGGCAAACTGGGCTTCGACAATCTGGCCTAGAGTTGAAAGATGAACTTTTCCACTCAACAAATGCAAATATATTTATATTTTTTAGGTTCTTGTCATTTTATTTTTTTTTTATTTAAAAAAGTTAAATAATAATTTACTTTTTTAGAATGGAGCAATCCATCTACTTTCAACGAATTAAAACTTTGTGTAATGTGGAGGTGTGCAGTGGAATAAAATTAAGAATTATGAATAGAAACAGCACTAAATTAAACGAACAGCGATGTAAATCCACAATGGATAAGTTTACTATTAAATGGTTTAAATGTCGAATGTCACGTAATATTAAATCTGCCAATCAACTTACAAAGATTTTTTTTATTGTGTTATTACTATTTATTTCATTTTCACCACAGGCATGTTTGATTTATTTAACTTACGACGTTCAGTTATCTAGTGTCTTATTGTTGCTATTGTGTTTTTTACAGATGGTCCTTTGCAATACTTTTATGGGAAATTGTCACAATGGGTATGTTTTCACTGGAATAAAATATCAAAACTATAATTATTTTAACAAATATTTTATTATTTACTTTAAAAAAAACATCTGATATGCCTAATCACAATTTATAAATAATAAATAAAAGTGTTTCTACAAATATCTCATAATTATGTTTTAATGAATATTTGAAAACTTGTGATTTTTCATTTATTTGGATTTCTTTGGTGTGATACTCGCCAGGGATAACCCAAGAAAGTCCTAGGACAGTGGGGTCCTTCTGGGGGTGATTTTGGTGGTACACCGAGAGATAATCCATATTCTTTTCCAAAGAGTGTGCTGCGCACATCGACTATTTTGCACACGGGACCAACGACTTAAACGTCTCATCCGAAAGACGGTGCACTTTATAAAACCTGTATTTCAGCCATTCAGCTGAAACACAAAGAGACCAGTGATGAGAATTAAACCGGGGAATTATAATATATTATTATAACAAATATTGTATTATTTACTTTTAAAAAAAACACCTGATATGCCTATTCACAATTTATAAATAATAAATAAAAGTGTTTCTACAAATATCTCATAATTATGTTTTAATGAATGTTTGAAAACTTGTGATTTTTTTTATTTATTTGGATTTCTTTGGTGTGATACTCACCAGGGATAGCCCAAGAAAGTCCTAGGACAGTGAGTCCTTCTGGGGGTGATTTTGGTGGTACACCGAGAGACAATCCATATTATTGTCCAAAGAGTGTGCTGCGCACATCGACTATTTTGCGCACGGGACCAACGACTTAAACGTCTCATCCGAAAGACGGTGCACTTTATAAAACCTGTATTTCAGCCATTCAGCTGAAATACAAAGAGACCAGCGATGGGAATTAAACCGGGGACCAAATGATCTCCACAGTTCAGCGCACACACGTGGCTTCCACCAGTTTAGCCGGCTGGCTGCTCTCGTAAATTGGATATGCTTTATTGAAATAATCGTAATTTATTAAAATGAGTATCTCTTTATTATCTCATATTATTTTACTGATAGAAAGAATATTATATTCATATTCGGAATGAATGTCTCATTGATTTTTGGAATTAATATCTCATTAATATTATTTCAAAAGAACATAGTGTATGATTTTTATATTGGAATAGATATTAAAAATTCACTGCTGGAAGATAACTTTCATTTTTAGAATGAATATCTCGTATATACTGTTTGAGATAATATTTTGTACTGTAATCTTAATTAAAATATATAAATCACATTCGTTATTGAAATGAAATATTACATATCTATTTTTAGAATAAATATCATTATTTAGGTTTGGCATCTCATAGTCATTATTATAATGTATATTTCATATTCAAGAATACTTAATATTATAAATAATATATCATAATTATTTTATTATTACAGGTGCTACTCCTTACCCAGGTGTGACGTCAGAGAGATTATATAATATATTAAAAACTGGTTATAGAATGATAAAACCAGACGGTTGTTCTGATGAATTGTAAGTAAACATAACAATAACGAATACAACTTATATAAGGTTGTACTTTTATTGACTAATTAGTGAGGAGAAAGTTTTGAGTCATGATGAAAATACTGCTTTTTACAAAACAAACAAAGGTGAAAACAAACAGGCTAGGTGAAAAGATGCAAATGTAAAATTCACTGCTGGAAGATAACTTTCATTTTTAGAATGAATATCTCGTATATACTGTTTGAGATAATATTTTGTACTGTAATCTTAATTAAAATATATAAATCACATTCGTTATTGAAATGAAATATTACATATCTATTTTTAGAATAAATATCATTATTTAGGTTTGGCATCTCATAGTCATTATTATAATGTATATTTCATATTCAAGAATACTTAATATTATAAATAATATATCATAATTATTTTATTATTACAGGTGCTACTCCTTACCCAGGTGTGACGTCAGAGAGATTATATAATATATTAAAAACTGGTTATAGAATGATAAAACCAGACGGTTGTTCTGATGAATTGTAAGTAAACATAAAAATAACGAATACAACTTATATAAGGTTGTACTTTTATTGACTAATTAGTGAGGAGAAAGTTTTGAGTCATGATGTTATCTATAGGTATAATTATTATTTTGCACAATTATTTTTTTTAAGGTGCTTTATTTTCTGTTGCAACTACCTGTATCTGTTGTGTTAAGAAATTTATTCATTATTAGGGTTCAATTATTATCAAAAGTTCTACGTGGATTGTGTAGAACAAATAGAAACAAATCCCCGTAAAATGAATATTTATTCGAATTTTAATGTATACTATATATATATATATATATATATATATATATACATTTATATATACATATATATATATATTATCTTACCATATCACATTTTTAATTGATATGTAATCATGTTATTATAGGTATGCTATCATGACAAAATGTTGGAGTGAGAAACCATCTGACAGGCCTTCATTCCAAGAGTTATGTGAAATATTCGAATGCATGCTCAAGCGAAACATAGTAAGTGATATAAAAGTATACGACAGGTGATAGTAAAGTGATAATTATTACAATTCCTATTGCTGTGGCTGTGTTTAAATCATGGTCGTCAAAGGTTTGCAGATTTAGAAAATTATAGTATAGATAGCAGGGTATTTATATTATCATCCGATTATTTTTAAAGGAATATCTGGATCTAACGGAGTTGCAACAAATTTCGCAAAACGATGAGGAAGAAGAAGATGAGTTGCCTGCGGTACAGATGGTAAAAATGCGACTACTAAACTCCAGTGAACAAAGTAGGTACCATGACGAACAAAAAGGTGCTTTAAACAAAATATAATGACGACAGAACACAGCACTTTATACCTATATTAATTACTGTAGCTTTAGCTCACGACGTATACTGTAACTGATAACTCCTGATGAGCTTCATTGCGTGACGAAAGCTAGAGAAAGTATATGTATAATTATAGCCTAGTTATTCTTCTAAGTAGTAAGTTCTTTTGTAAGTATGGACTAACAGATAGACGTGGACAGCCTATCGAAATTTGTGTGCAAATTATAATTTGACATTTGCGGCTATATCTGTATTTAACCGTGTGGATGATTATACAATCGAGAGATTAAGGAATAATATATACTTTACATACATTAGATGAAGTGAAATAATAACATGCTATGAACTTATTTGATCACGTGCCTGATGGAAATTCATACTTTAAACCTTAAGTGTTAGCATTACTTTGTTTCGTCTTGGGAATTAGGCCTACCTGATCCTATCACACCATACCTTTTTTAATTAAAATGGTTTAAGACATTCCATATAATTGTTATGTAATACCTCTCCTTCTTCAGTCATCGACTGCTAACCCCCATGGCATTTATCTCCACCCTTCCCTTGTATAAAAATAATGTTCTTGTCTTATTAAATGTGGATGCAGACTAAGATACTAAATCAAGGTGGACATTGTTAAAGCTGCAAAATAACTATTTTTGTTTCTATTTTTAGGTAGTTCAACCGCTGGCAACTCACGAGATAATTCAAGAACTGAAAAGCTGCCGGTACATGCCTTAAAAATAAAAATCCAAGCGTCGTGTGATGAGGAGAGTTACTTTGCATGTTAAAGATTGAAACTTCAATACAATTCTATCCTTTGAGCATTGTTTTACATTGTATTATGTTAAACTTCACGTTGAAATATACATCGTCTTACGTAACTGTTACGATACCTAAACGTGGCATTGAAAAATATAACGAAAGAAATTTCACAAAAAAAAATAACAGTAGTATATATTGAACAATATTAAGAAAGAGCGATATTAATATACATTTCACAAACGTAAAAATTATTATATCGTTTTCTGATTATGCAAAAAGACTGCATATACCGATAGTTCAGAAGGAGTTGGGCAGTAGCGGGTGACTAGAATGTATGTATTCTAAACATGGTTGAACAGTTTGTAAGACATCAACTAACACCAACTCAACTTCTTAAGCCCAACAAAAGACTACTCCGCCTGATCTTTCAATTGCAAGTGTTACTTAAGGTTAAGTGTGAAAGAAATTTAGAAAAGAATTGTAAGGATTGAGTGTCATAAGACAGTGTGAGGACATTTTTTGTATTATTTTATCGGTTTGAGATTTTACACTGCCAATAACAAATATTAACTGTCAAAATTGTAATTTGGTCAATATTGACGACGTAGTGCGCTGACAATTCTGTCAGTGGATCATTTGATGTTTGCACAAAAGTAGCTCATTCTATAAAAATAATAAAGGATTAAGAGTTCAATAATGTTTACTCTTTATCAACAGGTGTGTAATAATACATGTAGGATCAATATTAGATATGACATCGTTTTGAGAGAAAACCACTCCTGTATAGTGCATATTTTGATTGCATTCATGTGTATTGATAACAACCTGTGTGTGCGTGCATGTGCAATAGTATTTTGAGGTTGCTCATGGCGTTCGGCCTAAATATGATTTGTTATAATTATCTTGTAAATACATTCCAGCAGCATACTATTTTTAGAGTATATTATGTGGAAAAATTTAAAAAAAAAACATATTACACAGGCCTAGGGCTACATGTTTATTTAAATAAATTATTGAAATGTAAATAAAAGAATTGAATACATTACATTATTTGAGATTAAATTTTACCGACGGCTTGATTATCTGTTATTGAGCATGTGCGCGTGAGACTTCACCGCGTCAAAACTTTGGTACCGGTATAAGCTAAAGGGGATTTACCATCTTCGTTTAGTTCAGAAACCAAAGGCCGAATAATTGACATTGGCTACGTTTAGACTTGGATATAAGTCAAACTTGAGTTAAGCCCGGCTTAACTTTGCCGGGCTTTCAGACTAGCGGGATTAGCCAGGAGGCGCGATCATTTGCATAATAATGAACCGTGACGTACCAGGAAACGTGTTTCAAAACATTGCTCGCGAAACGTACACTAATCTCGCTCACAGCGTACGTAATTGAATGCAGATTGGCCATAGTCAATGCAAGACCCCCCCCCCCCCTTCCTGCAAGCACAAAACGTTTATAACCATCGCAAAGGTTACGTCAGAATACACTAAATTTTCAGATGACGTCCGGGCAGATGGTATAACAGATGGTCATAATGTGCCATCTCACTGTGTCACAATATACACCAACAAAAAAAAATATCACGGTACTCACTCACATTACTGAGTGTTCTAATATAACTCACATTTTTCAAAACAGAAGCATTAGTTTTATGATTCGGTGAAATTACAAAGTATAACCCACGAAAGTCTGAAGAAAACTTATTTTCAGTGGGTTCTTTCTGGTGGCAATTGGGTAGTACACCGGGAGGCAATCCGCTACATACTCTTTTCCAAAGAATGTACTGCGTTCTTTAACGTTCACATGGGCTATAATGCACTTTGACAAGCTTTACAACTGTCAGACTGATAAAGTAAGGGGATTTTCTCGCTATAACACACTCGGGAACAACGGAAAGACGGTGCGCTATCGTATTTTTGACATTATGTAGTGCGATAGCCTAGCACATAGAATACACTTGGAAAACATGTAAATAGTTTTCACATCCGAATTAGAGTAACTTACTTTAAAATGAAACTGTGTGTGACACATAACTTACACTTAATTGTTTATCTGATCTGATTAATCAGAGTGTAAGCAGAAAATGTAGGACGAGTAAGCCTTTACTTATAACTGAACAACCTGATGTATCATGAATCACAAATTGTGTTCATAATTGCGTCATCAAAGTGCCTTCACAACAAATGGTGGTCTGATAATCATTAAATTATTTGGCTGCGTAAATTTAATAGCAAAGCCTTAATATTTAACAATTTCCTTACACAAAGAATTGCTGCAAGTCTTGTCTTAAATGCAAGATACAGATCGTTTTGTATATTCTGCCAAATCTCTCTATATAACTGACATTGAATTAGCGTTTTAAATTTGTTTATTCATCATCATGATAATAATAATCATCATTTTCGTCGTCATCATTATCATAAGTGATAGCTGCAGTATGTTTATGTTTTGACAGATAAGAAAATCAATAAACACTTTTAAAACAAAACATTCTTAATTGGTCCATCTTGTAAACATTTTTTTCAAATGACAATTAAAAATTCACATAAAAACAATCATAAAGAAAATAAAAAACGAGAAAAAAAAAAACCGAGTTCAACATTTCATTATAGAAATGACAAGCCTCAGCAAAGTAAGAGTGTTTTTTATGTATAAAAATTATTTGAAATTTTAATTTGTATTTTAAGGTTATTTCAGAATGTATTACCAGTAATATACCGATGCACCCTAAACCTACAACAGACTTCTTCTCCAAAACAAATACATTAAGCATTTTCTTAAGTTTTGTGATAATCATTTTATTTACAATAACTATATTTATTGCAAACAGTAATATACCAATAAACTGTAAAACTGTTAAACTGATAAGGTGAAAAAAGTAATAAACCAATAAAATATACGTAGTCATCTGAATTTGATCATAAGTTTATCGAACCCTGACAAGTAATTCTGAGGTTTTATTTAGATTCATTGATAATTTTTTGGATTTATTTAGGTCTGGGAAGTTAGCTCTTAAAATGACCCTCATATCCACACCCTATTCTGGATCGCCAACAACATTTTATAATTCGTTCCTTGTAAGTTGTTTAAAAGTGTCATTCAGATCAGTAGGTAGGTTTTTAGTATATTCAGCCGGACGTTTTCATTTGAATAGTCCTCATATTCACACCCTACACCAGATCGTCATCAAAATTTAATCACTTTCCATTAGACCGTGAACAAATACGTTGGAAAGCTTCATTTGGATCTATTGATAGGTTTATTGTGATAATTAAGTCTGGGATGTTAAAAATTTAGTTGGCCCACAAATTTACACCCTAACTTTGGCTGTCACCAAACATTATAATTTTGTTCCTGTAATTTGGTTAAGCTTTCCCGAAAGTTTCATTCAGATCAGTTAATCAGTTTTTGAAATATCTGGTCTTGGACGTTTTCCTTTGAATGTTCCTCATATCCACATCCTACTCCGGGCCGTAACTGAAACTTAATCATTATTTTGGACAATGACAAACAATTATGGAAAACTTCATTTTGATCCATTGATATGTTTATTGAGATAATTAAGTTTGGGATGTTTGAAATTTAGTTAGCCCTCAAATTTACATCCTAAAGTGGATCGTCACCAACACATTATTGTATGTCAAAACTTTTCCAAAAAATTTATTCAGATCAGTAGACCTGTTTTTGAATTATCTGATGTATGCTTCGACACATTTTGGAAAAGAGCCAAGCATGGAAATTGACTAAAGTGCCGGGCGGCAAACCTGTGCAAAAAGATGGGAAAAACGATATGGAAGAAAAAGAATGGAGAATATCCAAACAAAACAATGGCTTTTCCAGCTATTGCTGGGAACAGCCAACTAGACTTAAACTATATCTGTATAACAGAACATAGGGCTTTTCGTTTTAAAAAAAAGTAAAGAAAATCACCGTCACGACTAACGCGATGTTAACGGGACTCGAACTTAACTGAAATTGTAATATAGAGGTACATGGAGACTCATAATCATTGCGCGCTATATAAGCCGACCTTGCTTTCACAAATGACATCTATTTTAGTATTATGTTACCCTATTTTAACACACAGCAGACAGTCTCCAGTCTAATAAGGTAGGTAATAAGGTAAGCTACTGTGTTGAGCAACTTATGTGTGAATTACGGATCGGCTGATTGTTTATATTAACGAATATGAATAATGTAATTAAAATGAGATGCAAATTAAAGTTTAGTGGTGTGAAGCACTGATTGGATGATATGATAATGATATATGAATTGTTGTTGGGATGTTGGCTAGAACTGAAGGTAGGGCGGTAGTAGCAATTGAGAAATGATAAAAACTGTAGGCCTGAAATTATCATGCCAATAAACATCCAGTTAACAGTGGTGTTGTAATCATTATTGTATTATTTGGATGGAAACCTATTTTACCCAGCTTCTGCTGGTTTGAAACGCTTTATTCAACGCAACTTGCGTTTATATAGTTTAATCACTAGTCCTAATATCCTCACACTACTTCGGACAATCACCAAATGTTATCATTTTTTCACATGACAAGCTATTCGAGAAAGTTTTATTTAGATCCACCGATAATTTATTCGAGATATTTAGGTCTGGGACCTAAGAACGTTGAATGACCTTTAAGTTCACACCTGAATTATGATCGTCATTAACACTTGATAATTTCATGGTTTAATATTCCAAAACGTTTTATTCAGAATAGCTTTTGGGATATCTGGTCTCTGACGTTTTCCTTTAAATGGTCCTCATGTTCACACCCTACTCCTGATAGTCAGCAAAATTAACTAAATTCTGTATTAGACCATGACTATGAGGCGCCAAATGTTCTGTTTCTTATATTTAACACATTTATATACATATAAATTATTATTTGATATAGGATTTAACATTTCTTCATTATATCAAATATATATTTATATATATAATATTTTTATATATAATATGTATAATATATATTATATATATAATATAGATATATATATTTATTTATATAAATATATAATATATATAATATATAGTATATAATGTATATATATACATAAATATATAATGTATATATATATTATTGCATACGAAATGAGAGGAAACTGAAAGTGCGAAATCAATTGACTTCAATCGGATATATATTAGATGTGTATAAGAGACAGCTATATAAGCCGACGGTGCATAAATTAGTGTATTTTTAGTTCATAGTTTTAGAGATTGAGAAAAATAATTGTGCATGCATTTCACGGTGTTTTTGCGTTTAACTTTGATGCAACTTGTTTATAAACGCTTTAGAAAACTCAAATTGCGTTTATATATAATTACGGGTTTTAAAATATTCTTTGAATGATCGTCAAATCCATTTCACTACTTCGAATTGTCACTAAGATTTAAAAATTGCTTTATTGAAACATGGTAAGCTATTCTGGAAAGTTTCATGTAGATCCATTGATAAGTTTTTTTTTTTTTTTTTTTTTTTTTATTTTTTTTTTTAAATTAAGAATACTGCAACATTTATTATTCCTTGTAGGTTTTAACCCTTAGGCCCCGGGGTTTTTAACCTTGTAGACGAGTTAATGTTATAAATTCTACAGAGAAAGATGCTGTGAGTGAATATATTACATAACATACATATACATATATATTCATTTGGCACTATAATATGTATCATATGACATATACAGTATATACATTATATAGATATTATATATATACATTATATATTATATATATAATGTCTCTCATATATATATATATATATATTATATATATATATATGAGTTGCTGTGTGTGAATATATTATTCACACACAGCATTATTATTATTTACGGTATCATTTGTTGTATTTGAATATATATATATGCATGTATAATGTAGGAACAAGAGCACAACGATTGTTCCTTACATGCCACATGGATGGGCCTGTCTGTACTGTATATCGCAGACATAATCCGACCAGGGACACTTCATATATGTGAATATATATGTGAATATATATATATATATATATATATATATATATATATCTGTATGTGTGTGTGTGTGTGTGTGTGTGTGTTACATATGAAAGGACAGGAATCTGCAAGTGCGAAATCAATTGCCTTCAATTGGATTGGAACTCCATACGAAAGCTTCGATGGCCCAGTTTGATAAGACAGTTGCAGCAGAAGATCCCGTGTTCGAATCCGTTTTGGTGGGTTTTTCGCACTTGCAGATTCCTCTCCTTTCGAATTCAACTTTTATGTATTGTAATATATAATTACATGTACATATACATATATACTTTATATATATACATATAATATAACACGAAAGAGAAAAACTTTGTAGTAATGCTTTATATATATACTGTAAATTGTAAACTGTAAGGAAGAAGAATCTGCGAGTACGAAAAAATTGCCGCAATCAGGGTTCGTGATTTATTACATACATTAGGCCTATAACATTTATGCCTTATGCCACGTCATCATTCATCGTACCGCTATGCCTACGTGATTGGCGACGGCGACATCCTGTGACTAATGTCATGCCATCATCAATTGGGAAATTCCAAAATCGTTAGGCTTACGCAGCATTTTGTGTTGGTTTATGGAATGTAATTAGACGGTTAGAACTATTGCAGTATTGTGAATTAGCTAGGCCTCGATCAAGAGAGTGAGAACCAAACTGAGGATGGATGTAGAACGGGGATTATGCTGGCGTTGTGAGACAAACAAAGCAACGAAGAAGTGTACTCATTGCAATATAGCTGAGTATTGTGGAACTCAATGTCTGGATCGTGACAGGATTAGACATAAAGTAGAATGTGATATGTGGAATAGAGACAAAGAGTGTGCCAAATGCAAGAAAAAGATAAAATGCTAGTCGGTAAGCATTTTAATTCTGTCGTATAGTAAGGGAGATTAATTAATAATTTTAAATCACTCACTGTAGTATAAAGATAAAGTACTATATTTTTTACACGATTTTAAATGGTAACATCTTTCGCTTAGTGATTACATTATTATAGGAAATGTAGGATAATAAACCATAACTCCCAACCTTATTGCCCCGAATTACTATATTAATATAACCAGCAGCCGTACAGAGGAGCTTAAATCACATAGTTCTACAACGAGGGGGAGGTGGGTATGGGGCTCATAAGAACCATAGAGATCTCCACGGTTGAGCGCACACATAGTTATTACCACCAGTTTAGCCGACTGAGCAGCTGCTCTCAATAACGGTAACCCCCTACTCTTCAGAAAGATGCACTGTTTTTTTTTTTTTTTTTTTTTTTTTTTTTTTTCCA